AAACGTAATACTCTTAATTAATTCTCTTAAATAATATCTATTTTAAAGTCCTTAATATTGGGGCTTCTTATTTAATTCAATAAGGAAAAATCTAATAATCAAATTTTAGTTTCTTTTAAAGTTCTAAATATTAAGATAATAATTAAATGACTATTTTGTCTAGTGTGAGCTCTATTTTAAAAGGATAAAAAAGACAAACGACATTTCGCTAAGGGTCTTCGTGCTTTAAATATAGTATAGATAGATGAGTTCCTACGACGATCTTAAGTTAATATACAACAATAATATGATCAAAGGACTGAGTTTCAAACTAAATATTTTTATATATTTAATAAATTTCTTAATACAAATACAGAATCTTAACAAAAATTACAGGGTTAACAAATTTCTTAGAAAATATTTTTTGTCCACAAATTTACAAATAAGGAGGCAAAAAGTTTCTATTTTAACACAAAGGTATAGTCCTCTGGTAGTAAAATTATCAATTAGAAAAATTAAAATTAAAAAGAAAAATCAAAATTATCTTTTTTCCCCATTTTTTCCAAATGAGGCCTAAAATATCTAGAAGACATGAATCCTAATTTGTTTTTCTTTCATTATGAGGAAAATTAAAATAAGTAAATAAGTCCACTAGCAGCCATGTCTCTCATTGGATAATTTTTGCTATAAAACAATTCTACCGGTCCCACAGATGAATATGACATCACACGAAAAAAAAACAATTTTAAAAAAATACATTTCATTATTAAGTCCTAGCTAGTTCTGGTCAACATTTCTTGACTAATTGCATCTGCACCCTTAATTAACTCCAAAATTTAATACTAACAACTCTTAAATATTAAAATAAATTTTCCAAATCTAAAGAAAACCAATCACTAACTTCCTCCATTCACTTCCTCTTCATTTGTCAGAACTCTGCAAATCTTAAAACAGACACTACAAAGAACTTACAAGAATGTTTTATTTTTCTCATTTAAATTAAATTCTTGATTTAAGGGCTTTTGGATATTTTTCAGTTGTAGTTCACTGTTGTGCTTTGCCCCTTTTTTCTTAAGACTTGTGTTTGTGTTCACATTAGAAGGGGGAAAACACTGGAAGAGTTAAAAGAGTTCAAAACCCTTTTCTTGATTTATTGTTACCCTTCTTGGTATGGAGCTAAAGAAGGAGAGGTTTGTAAGGTATGTGATATTTTTAGTTTTGGGGATTTTGTATTTTTCTGTTTTTTGTTCTTTGGTTTAGTTTCTGTGATTTGGTAAATTCTTGTGCTATAATTCTGAAAAAAAAAGCGATCTTTTTTTGTAATATGTTGAAGAATTATAGTTAAAGATTGGATTTTTATGTTATTGTATTAATATGACTTTGAATTAAGATGGGTTGCACATTTTGTACTTTGATAAATTTTGGTGTAATAATTTGGAAATAGAGATTCTTTTTGTAATATGTTGAAGAATTAAGGACTTCGGGTATTTAAAGATTGGATTTTTATGTTATTGTATTGCTTTTAGGAGTAAGGAGAGGTTTGTAAGGTATGTGAGATTTTAAGTTTTTTTTCTTTCTTTCTGTTTTTTGTTGTTCTTTGGTTTAGTTTTATGTGATTTGGTAAATTGTAGTGTAATAATTTGAAAAAAAGTGATCTTTTTGTAATATGTTGAAGAATTAAGGACTTTGGGTATTTAAAGACTTGATTTTTATGTTATTGTATTGCTTTTAGGAGTATGTTTTTCTTATTTTTTATGCAAGATATTGAGATAATTCTAACTAAATGTTAGAAAGTTTATGTACTCGCTGAAGGGGAGCCTTGGCGTAATTGTTAAAGTTGTTGCCATGTGACTAGGAGGTCACGGGTTCGAGTCGTGGAAACAACATCTTGCTAAATGCAGGATAAGGCTGCTTACAGTAGACCCTTGTGGTCCGGGCCTTCCCCGGACCTCGTGTATAGCGGGAGCTTAGTGCTCGGGCTGCCCTTTTTAATGTACCCGCTGCTACTTTATTTAGGTTTTAGCAAATAGACTTGGAACATAAGATGGGCTGGACATTTTGTACATTAATTTCTTTTACTGGAATTTTATTATAAGATGGATTTTCCTTTTTTACTAATAGTTGATTTATGCATTTGTTAGGTTCTACTCTGGTGAAGAACAACACGGTGGTTTTTTGGGAGGAAAAGCAGACAGTTCAAACCTAGAGAAGTCATCTTCGGGATATAGATATTCGTCTCCTTTATTGAACTCTGATGGCAGATATAAAGTTACCGATACCCTTATGTTTGGGAGGTCTAAGGTGTATCCTGAGGACCACAACAGGTCGTGGAGGAAGCGAATACTTGATCCGGGGAGTGACATTGTAATCCAGTGGAATAGGATTTTCATTATATCTTGCTTGCTCGCTTTGTTTGTGGACCCGCTGTATTTCTTTTTGCCCATCATACACGGAACTAAAGAGTCGAGTTGTGTGAAATCAGATTTGAATTTGCGAATTGTTGTCACCATTTCCCGAACTATAGCCGATTTTTTCTATCTATTACATGTGTTCATTAAGTTCCGGACTGCTTATATTGCCCCAAATACAAGGGTATTCGGGAAGGGTGAGCTTGTCATGGATCCTAAAAAGATTGCTCTCAGATATTTAAGATCAGACTTTTTTGTTGATCTGATTGCAACCCTTCCTCTACCTCAGGTATGTCGTTCCACTTCATGACATTCAAATCAATACATTTTCTTTCATGTCCATATGTCCAGATATTAGTGTGAATATTATGTATTGTTTTTGTGTACTGGGTTTTATGTGCTAAATTTGCTGCATTTTTCGGCCCTTTGTTATACTTGTCTTGGAGTCAAGGTGGTCAAAATTTTGGTTTATGAGGAACATAATGTTCAATATTTAGTTCCTTCAGCTTCTATGTCCCAATAGACTGTACTCCTTGTAACTTGCTAATATTGGCCAAATTTGTAATCGAAAATGGTATGCACTATTATATGAAAAAATATGGTGTTTTCTTATCCTCACTGTAGAATAGAATAAAGAAAAAGACAGATATTCTCCATTTCTCCTTTTCCGCTTCCCTCAAACATATCCCCATTACGGAAGACCCCCTCAACACCACCCAACCCACCCTCTGTTTTGATTTAGCAGCATCCTTAGTTAGGACAAACTCGCTATTTGCAATTCCACTTCTTTTCTCTAGACTCTGATTGCAGCCCCATCTGTAAATTGTAAAATATAAGTACAAATGCTTAGAGATACTCCTTTCTTATTTGTCTTGCTCTTGACTCTCTTGCTATTATAAGTGTTTTATCGATAGGAAAAAAAAAAGATCCCCGAGCCTAGTTTTAGAGCAACATGAAGTGTTTTACCTTGAACCATTTCGCCAGCTTCTGTAATTACAGGGATTTTTTTAAGAATTTATCGATAGCAAATAATAGGTACTGAAGGTCTTTCGCCCTGCTTAAAATTGATAATGTTGCAATACTAACCCAGTAATTGAATTGCTGCTGTCTTGCTATGCTCCTCTGTCTTATGTAAACAATGTGCGTAACGTCTTGTGCGAGGAGGTCTAAAGTGGTAGTAACTTTTGACGTTTCATTTTCTTATTCTTTGGCTTTTTTATGCACTTATCATTTAATGTTTTGTGATTAGTGGCATGTCTATTTTTAGATATAAAGCGCCCAAACATGGCTTTCTTTTTTGTTTGTATTATGTTCATTTTATGAATTCATTTCCATGAGTTTTATTGGCTTTTGATTTAGTTTCATAAACTGTCTGTAGAACAAATCATGTATGAGTAAGACTCTTTTTAGAGTGATAAGATATCTTCTTTCGGATGTGCTTGAAATGGTTTGACAAGGGGCTATGGGACAGGACAGGGCTAAGGCTCTGATAATTGGAAACTGTTGTGGGTTTAGTTGTTTTTGTCCCTTATGGAAAGTAACAATACAGGTCGCTTTTGGTTGGTTAAGGAATCAAAATGTACTTTTTTCAAATAGTTCAAGGACCTCCAGTGTCATTTGCCTCAAGTAATTACCATGTCTTCTGTCCAGCAGACAAGTCATCCATCTTACATGGCTTATGCCTAACATCTATTGTAGAAATGTGTAACTGATGGTGTAACGTTAAGTTAATATGTTTAATTTGGTTTCACTTGAAAGAGACGTGGATGTTAACCATCTAGATTCTCCACTTCTTTTTGCCACTAGTGTGTGGGATTTCTTCCCAAATACCGGAATGAGATACGATGATATAAAAGGTCTGTAGCTTGTGCTGTTACTGTATGATGGACAATTGAGAAGAAGAGGCTGTTTTTGTGAAACCATTTAGTCATGGCAAGTGAAACTACTAATCTGTAGAGGAATAGGTCATGGCACTTTCAAGCACAACTCCTACATAATAAAGAATTGTCTATGTTGGGTCAAAGCCTCATTTGAAGTGCCAATATATCTGGGCTTCCTTGCTTTATTTTATACAACAACAACAACAAACCTAGTGTGGTCCCACTGGGGAGGGTAGTGTATACGCAGACCTTATCTCTACGCTGTGAAGTTAGAGAGACTGTTTTCGATGGACCCTCGACTCAAGAAACATATGCAAAGAGAAGAATCCATGTAAAGAGAAGCAATAACGATAGTCAACAAAATAAAATAGGCGAAGTAAAAATAAACAACAAGTTGTAATAGAAATCTAATGATAGAGAATACAAGAATACACTATTACTACAGGTAGAAGAGTAACACTACTCACTAACCTACTACCTTATTCCTCGCCCTCCATTCCCTCCGATCAAGGGTCATACCCTCGGCAAGCTAAAGATGTGCCATGTCTTGCCTAATTACCTCTGCTCAATACTTCTTTAGCCTACTTCTACCTCTCCTACGCCACATCATAGCCCACCTCTCGCACCTCCTCACCGGGGCATCTGTGTCTCTCCTCATCACATGCCCAAACCATCTCACCTCGCTTCCCACATCTTATCCACCACGGGAGCTACTCCCACCTTGTCCCGAATATCTTCATTCATAATCATATCTTTATTAATATGCCCACGCATCCATCTCAATATCTACATTTCCGGTACTTCCTTGCTTTAACTGACGTAAGAAAATAGTGCAATTACATTGCAATGGCTTTTTGATTTAATGGATTAGGTGAGAAGTACTGCGAAATCTCAAAAAAGGTAACACTTGCTGAGATCAAGCAACCATTTGTCGAGGGATTAAAGCATTTACAACCTTTTTTATTGACTAGAATACCTAAGAAGACACATTTGATAGCCTTTTGCTGAAGTATGTCTTTTCTAGGGGTAAGATCATGAACAAAAGAGGTACAACCAAACACATGTGGAGGAAGTGGGAATGGTCCGGATAAAAACCGAGAATGGACTCTTGCTCTACAAAACAGAAGGCGTACGATTGATAAAATAACAAGCAGTACTAACGGAATCACCCCAAACACGAAAAAGCTACATAGTTGTGAATGAGTAATGTCCAAGCTTTTTGATGAGATGTTTGTTCTTCCGTTTAACAATTCCATTTTGTTATGGAGTATGTGCACAAGTAGACAAGTTTCATAAACCTTGTGATGAAATAAAGGAAGAAAGAGAAGATAAATATTCTTGGGCATTATCACTGATTAATTTCTTTATGGAAACACCATATTGATTGTTAATTTCAGTACAAAAATTCTAAGAAGTAGAGAACAATTTATACCTTATTTTCATTAAAAATAACCAGACAGCGAGAATATTCAATCAATAAATGTAATAACATAATGTAAGCCTAATGAAGTACTGACACGACTTGGACCCTATATGTTCGAGTGAACAACTTCAAACCTGGAGGAAGCCCTATTATTGGCGTGTTTTGAGAAAGAAGCACGAGTGTGTTTTCTAAGTTGACACGACTCATATTCTAACGATGATAAACTAGATAGATTCGGAGTACTAGAAAAGGGAGGACATACAAGAGATGTTTGTTGGTCTCTTTATGGCCGGCCTCTATGTAATAATGATCGTCCTTGACATGCAATAAATGTGGCTCACAAGTCACATGAGGGGGCGTATTGAGACATAATATTATAAATTAACTAAAAGTATGTTATCATCTTTTAGAGAGAGCATATTTTTAATTAATTATATTATGTCTCAACATAATCTGTAAGTGGCTTTAAAATTCTTCATCTATAAGCCAGTTGTTTCTTCCGATTCTACTATACACTACATGACCATAAAGATAGCCTGATTGCAGGCATGTGTACCCCTGATTTTGGACTAGTGATTGTGCCACATATTTCCAATTTCTTGATTCTATTTGGTAGCAGAGTATTTGATGCATTTGTTTGTTAAATGTGGTAGTTTTACATATCAAGAAAATGATAACCCGTTCTTCTAGTTTTATCTCATCATCATCATTGCTTTCAATTTTTTCTCTTTTTACTGGGGTGGAGCAGGGTATATGACGAAAAAGTAATCTTTCACGCAGATGGTTATCTGGTTTATTATACCCGCGACAAGAAGCCAACATGCTAATCATAACAATAATGCCCTTGCGCTGATTGTCCTACTTCAGTATGTTCCCAGATTGTATCTTATATTCCCATTAAGTTCACAGATTATCAAAGCAACTGGAGTTGTGACAAAAACTGCTTGGGCAGGGGCTGCATATAATCTACTTCTCTACATGTTGGCCAGTCATGTATGTAGCTCCAACAACCTTATTTTCAAAATATTGGTTTAAAACCGCTGTTGTTATGCAAGGGTTTTGCTGGTTTTTTTTTTCCTTTCTTGAGAGTTTGATGTAACGACAGACTATTTGTTTTTATTTAGGTTATTGGCGCAGCATGGTATTTGCTGTCAGTTGATCGATATACTTCTTGCTGGAAATCAATATGCCAAAATGAAAACAGCTCTACGCAGTGTGTGCTGCGCTACTTGGATTGTGATACTTTTGACCAAAATGCTCGTAAGAGTTGGGCAAATATCACTAAGGTATTTGAAAGTTGTGATCCCGATGGGGATAGTACTTTCAAATATGGAATATTTGAAAATGCAGTTAAAAAAGATGTTGTATCCTCAAGGTTTATGGCAAAGTACTTCTATTGCTTGTGGTGGGGCTTACAACAACTGAGGTAATTTTCCTATGTGGTTGGACAAAATAACAGTGTCATTTACATTTATAATGTTCATATCTAAGTGTTTTCGGTTGTAATTTATTGAAACTGTACCCCAGTTAGACATTTCCGAATTCGAAAGCACATGGTTCTTATCTAGTGTTTTGGCTTTTAAAAAGAGAAAAGATAGAAGTATGCAAACCAGTAGCATATCATATATTACCTCAGCTCTAACTTGCTTGACCATTTATCTGTATAGTCTATCCAGTTTATGAGACCTATTTTATAAGATGGATAACTATGTTATCTCTAACAGTCCAAAAATTCCATAAACTAATTCTATTTCGATTGTTTTGAACTTGAGCCGATACTTCAACAACTAATACTTGTTTAATTACTCTGAGCTTGACAAGATAGCTCTTAAGGATGCAATTACATTGAGAGAGTAAATGTGTCATCGCCCTTCTAATCCCACCTTTAACGAGCCATTTGAAGGAAGATCTGAATTTCAAATCTTTCCTTTTCTTGTGTTACAGTTCTTATGGGCAGAATTTGTCAACGAGTACATTTATCGGGGAGACATCCTTTGCTATACTTATTGCTATTTTGGGTCTGGTTTTGTTCGCACACCTTATTGGGAATATGCAGGTAAATCAAAGGCTCTGCTGCTTTTCATTCTCCCTCTATACAAGCTTGTTTTGGTAGACCTTGTAATTTGTTCTCTTGACTGTTTATTAACAGCATGATCTTGGCTAACACTTTTAGACAATTATAATTTCTGTTCTTGATTTAATATGTGCAAGATTCTGATTGATTGGTGAATTTTCTGCATGCTATTCCTCTTTATAGATTTATATGCCAGTAGAAAATGTAGAGAACTTCTAGAGTTAGAGAAACTATTGTTATTTTATAAATATAATGTTTGATTCATACCGGCTTACGACATAGACGGTGAGGGTTCATATAGCGACCTCAACTTGCTTGGAATGAACGTAGTTGTTGTTATCTTCTTAATAGTGTAGTATATTCTTCAAAACATCTTCTACTTCTTATGTCCCAAATGGTAAACCTTGAGTTGTTCTTCAGTTGTTACTACGTATGCTATAAGCTTGTTCTCCCATGTTGGGGACCTTAATGTTGTGGGAGGTAAAAATACCAAAAATTGAGCAGAAGATTTCAACAAATAGCATGTGTTAAATCATTTTTTACGGCATTGTTTTTATGCTGGATGCTCAACCCAGCTTAATTTTAAACTTTTTTTCGAATTCGGCATCGGTCAAAGATAATTAGGTGAATTGGGGGCCTGATAAATTTCTAAAATGTTGGGGGAACGTATTAACATTTGAAAATATCCCCCTTTTATATTTTCAAATTTTAATTTTTTGGTTCCTTCTCTTCTCTCTCTCTCTCTCTCTTCATCTTCTTCTTTCTTCTCCTTCCTTCTCTCCTTCTTCATCTTCTTCTTTCTTCTCCTTCCTTCTCTCCTTCTTCATCTTCTTCTTTCTTCTCTTCTCCTTCCTTTTCTCCCTTCTCTTCTCCTTCCTTATCGTCTCTGCAATTTTTTATTCTTCTTTTTGTGTTTGTTGTGAGGATTTCTGGAGAAATTTTGCGAACATAGATTTTCGAAACAATGGAGGAAATTCTGAAGTCCGTTAAAAAACATCTGAGAATTGTTTAAACAACATCAAGTTGTTTATTTCAAATAGCCCAAGAGTTGTTTTAACAAGGTTGTTTAGTTCAAACAACCAGGAAATGTTTAAACATTCTCAAGTTGTTTAGTTAAAACAATCAAGAAATGTTTGAACTTCTGTTAGTTGTTTGGNTCGGCATCGGTCAAAGATAATTAGGTGAATTGGGGGCCTGATAAATTTCTAAAATGTTGGGGGAACGTATTAACATTTGAAAATATCCCCCTTTTATATTTTCAAATTTTAATTTTTTGGTTCCTTCTCTTCTCTCTCTCTCTCTCTCTTCATCTTCTTCTTTCTTCTCCTTCCTTCTCTCCTTCTTCATCTTCTTCTTTCTTCTCTTCTCCTTCCTTTTCTCCCTTCTCTTCTCCTTCCTTATCGTCTCTGCAATTTTTTATTCTTCTTTTTGTGTTTGTTGTGAGGATTTCTGGAGAAATTTTGCGAACATAGATTTTCGAAACAATGGAGGAAATTCTGAAGTCCGTTAAAAAACATCTGAGAATTGTTTAAACAACATCAAGTTGTTTATTTCAAATAGCCCAAGAGTTGTTTTAACAAGGTTGTTTAGTTCAAACAACCAGGA